TTTGTCTAAAGCGCTAAATCCTTGAATTCCAATCCTTCTTTGCCCTGCAAGTCTTTGCTTCAGTCTCCGATATCTTAGCACCTGGGTTGACCCGTAGGCATAGTACCCCATCTTATTTATCTAATTTATCTTTCCGTCACGATCGCACTACATGCCGTAACTCTTTCAAATGCTAAATACTTTGCAATCATCTCACCTCTGTCTTTACCACTTCATTGGCACTTCGCTCAGTCTTGGTTTAGAAGCTGAATTTCCAGACCGTTTAGGCTCAAAATTTCCTAAATTATCAATCCTCTCTTGCACTTTCCGAACAATTTCCTCTATGTCTGTAATTCGTTTCTTTGGAGAGAAACTTCAATTGCTGAAAAGTCCTTCTGTTATTTTGCTTCAACCCGTTATTCCTTTATAAGTTTTCTATTTCGGGTGAATATACACTAGAAGGAAATAGAAGCAGTTGATATTATACCCAAACCTTATCCGTAAATTTCCTGATGGGGGAGGTGGCCCGAGATGGAAAACTTAAAGAATTGGAAACTTAGCTTGCTGTGTGGTTTACAATAGTTGTTTTGTTAATAGTGAGTGTTAATTCAGACGGTATATGAAAAATATTTCAACATTATTTATAGAAATACGCAGAATTATAGATGTTAGACTGGTCATGAGTAAGGTGAGAGTTGAAATATTGCTGTCCGTATTATCTGCCTTTATTAAGTATCCTAGTATCGTAAGTTGATAGTGATGGGTAGATAGATACCTGTAAGTAATTGCATGTGCGCGTATCTATGTATGAGGGGTGGAAATTTTTCCCCTCTTTAGCTTCAAATCACTGAAGAATATAACACATTATTTTTTTGTTTGTTTGTTTTCAGGGAGACCGAAGAATGCAAGCAATAAATCAAGACAGAAAGGCAAGAAGGCGCGGCAGGTGTGGCATTTGCCCGCGGAAGAATGACAAAAAGTCAGCTAAACAGTGTTCCCTCTGTTATAAATGGGTGTGTAAGATTCACTCGGTGGCAGACGGAAGGGTCGTTTTATGTGATAAATGTAGACCGCAGCAGTGGTTTTGTTGATTAGAAGAAATTTTATGAGATTAATAAAGAGAACGGTTTTTAAACGGTTTTCAATCCTTATCCCCCCATATTACTGTACATGCAATGAAACCCGGATTGATCATACAGGTCCTGAAACGAACTGACAAACTGGCGTGTGCAAAAGTTTTCTCTCTAAATGTAAGACTAGAATTCTGCGTAGGAAAGATAAAAACCAACACATGCGTTGCCCACTGGTTTGTCTTCCTGGGAAACAGCCCAGGGGCGTCATCAAGACTGTTATCTGCAGGGAAACAGCCCAGGGGCGGCATCAAGACTGTTATCTTTCACATGGACAACGTCTCTGCATGGTGCAAGTCAGACAGTAGACCTTTTGCAGAGGTAAAGGAAGAGATGATCTCCGTTTTTACGCCAACCATTTGGCCGTTTCGTCGCGTCGGTTCATTATTAGGCCCGCATACTGTTTACTAAGGCGGAATGTGGCCCGCTGCGGTATATCGGAGTCCGTAAGATTTAAATTTGAACATTTCCATACTACCATATGTTTAACAAAAGTATGTAATGGTACAGCTTAAAATGTTACAAAAAGTAATAACAAAACGCAGTTTTGGAGACTTAATTTCAACTTAAATTTACTTTTCCGTAACGAAGTTCCTCATTTTCTTATTCTTCACAATTTGGTCTTTTTACAGACATATATATATAACTTCTCTACCAGCGGCGCCGTCTGAAATCCCTCCTCGTAGTTCTCCCGGGGTTAATCAGCCATCACCTACAGGTTGTGACCGTTTGTGAACTCACCCACAACAGATATACTTTACAAAATAAAGTCAAGGTCACGAAAATGGCATGGTTGCAAAGGACGTCTTATATAGGAATTGTTTCATATAAGATTCTCACAAAGAGGTCAAGTCACGAAACACATTTTATACCATGTAAGATTATAATTTAGGAAAGTTCAAGGTCACTAGAAGAGTCAAGAATGCTTAAGAGGTTCAAGTAAAAAAAGGGCAAAGTTCCTAACCAGTTGCCGTCACAAAAAGGGCAAACATACCTAAAGGTTAGACACAAAAACGTTCATAAATAAAAGGTCACAATACCAAAGTGTGTTGTTTCTTTCTTTGTCTGTGTTTGTATGATTGAGTTTTTTTTTCGTGTGTGTGTGACCTTTCATAAAGAATACTTTAACTACCAACGTAGAATTCTTGGCGTTACTGGCAAGGAGAAGGTACCACGAACGTGTATATATATATATATATATATATATATATATATATATATATATATATATATATATATATATATATATATTTTTTTTTTTTTTTTTTTTTTTTTTTTTTTTTTCTTCTTCTTCTTCTTCTTCTTCTTCTTCTTCTTCTTCTTCTTCTTCTTCTTCTTCTTCTTCTTCTTCTTCTTCTCCTCCTCTTCCTGGGGCTTGTATCTGGCCATGTTCATTTATTGATGAAATCCCACGCCGTCTGAGCATCCCGTGACGAGGCTTCAAGCAAGAAAATTCCATTTCCATTATACCAAGAATCGGATAATTCTCTCTCCAGGTAATGGTGATTTAGCCACTCATGTTTAAGCTCAGCTTCTCGTGCCACCATCCCGGTGAGGAACACGTCTTCTATCCACAGAAAAGGAGCAAGAGAAACATGATCCCAGAGCTTCCTGAGCGCTACGTTATCAATGATGTAAGCGGCCCCTATGGCATACGGCGGGAAAGCATTTGAAGCGTACTCCTCCTGTCAGGGATCAGAAGGACAAGCGATGCCATTATTATAGTACGTAAAAGACACGTAACACCATTTCCAGTTAGCCTGCTGAATCCTCAAAAAAAATTGACTTTCCCTAGTGTATTCTGACGAGTGTATATATTGTATGGAACACTTCTTTATCACAAAGAAAAGAGTGGCATCTTTGTTTTAATCTGGTATTTATAGCAATATCAATGAATCTATAAAAATATTCATGCATCTACTTATATATGATACCTCATAGGCTAGACGTGATAAAAAGTCCATAGCTCCGCTCTTTTTCCCCTTGTTCATCTGTGTGATATTTTATGGTGTTTATTAGTATAATTTATGTGAAAATGGTTTAGTAAGGACAATGGTAAAAAAAAATAATCATAACAGAAAAAAGAAACTAACATAAAGGAGATAAAAAAAACTGTATGTACAATGCATGGAGGCAAAGAGGCGGGATTTAGCTCGCAGTTCCCAACTGTCTTAAAGTACATTAGTTGTAACACTCCTACACTATGCTACGTGTGATCAGAATCAGCATTGAGGTGTTTCCACTGCACTGTCATCGTGTTTTGCATCGCCGCTAATGGCCTTATCTGTTGACGCGACAGATAGTTTTAAATAATCAATCGTGTTTTCCAGGACTATTAGATATCGAGGTGTGATATCACGAGTATCAGTAAGGTTTTAAAATTACGTCTTCACATGTGACATAACATAATCCGCTGGAATATGAATCCGTTTAAGGTCAACAAGCCTTAATGATCAACTTGTTCTAACCAGATTTAGTGAGTTAATATCCGATATAAAGACCTACCTTCGTCAGTGCCCAGCGCCCGACTCTCTGCGGTGGTGCCAGTATGATTCTTCCGTATATTTTCCCAACAGCCGGTTTTCCCTCCTTCCTTTCCGAGATGGTCTTTGGAGAGTAGATAATTGCGTTATTCAGGTTTTCGTTTTACTTTTGATGTCACGCCTAGGCCCTTCTCATAAATGGAAAACAAGTAGAAGAGAGAATTTGTGTCAAGGGTCAGAGAACGTGTAGATAAATGATTTAAGTTTAATTCAGGTGCCGAGTTTCCTTGCAAATGAAGCATGTAAAAACATCATTTACAACAGCGTTACTTAACTTCCTCCACACATGCATGTTCTAGATATAATTAAGATAAGTAACTGAATGAATGTTAATATCAGTAATCGATTTTTTTTTCTTTTTTTTCTTCTTTTTTGTTCTTTTCTTTTTAGCAATGAGTCTATGAAGATTAAATAATTATGTGGATGCTTCGAAATGGTAACTCTGTATCCCTTCTTTTCAGTGTATAATCTGTATTAATGATGACTTGCCTTAATGCCAATATAATTTTAAAGAGATTGATGATTTGAAGTATGATAATTTGAACGCGTCTATCAAAATTATTTCTAATGCTATTTGAAATATATTTTATGGCTCATGTTTTACTATATGACGTATATAAAATATATAGTTAGTTTAAATAAGACTAATGTTGCACCATTTCGGGAGATCTGTGCCGCCTAAAAGCTTCCCTATAGTTTTTTTGATTGTATTATTATAGATTTCAGAAATTACAATAATTATATATTATTGTATCTTTTCTTAATTTAAACTTTCATCTATAACGTAAGCTTCGATATACTTCGATATATCCACGTTAATGCACCACAATCTTTATAGTGCATTGCCGTCACTATATCGTTGGTTGTATTATAGATGAAACTTTAAACATATATAGGCCTATGTATGTAAATACGCATATATAGATAGATAAATAGATAGATAGTTTTATACAATATATACAAATACAGACCCATTTCTCTCTCTAGTAAAAGTCTGGAAGTCGGACTTAGGATGAACAAGAAAAAGACTAGGATCATGTTCAACAGTTAAATTCTAACAGATACGTGTACAAGGCAAAGTGCTAGAGGTAATGGACAAGTACATATATATATATATACACCTAGGGCAACTCATACAGACAAACACATCTAGCGAAGAGGAAATTAAGCGACGCATCATTCTAGGCTGGAGCGCCTTTGGTAGACACAGTGGCATAATAAGAGGCTAGTTGCCGTTATGTTTAAAAATAAAATTCTTTAACCAATGGGCCCTCCCATTTATGACCTATGGATCAGAAACCTGGGCTACAACCAGATTACTGGAGAGGAAATTAATAAGTGCCCAGAGAGGGATAGAGATGTTGATGTTGGGAATTAGCCTCAGAGATCGGATGAGGGCGACGTGGATCAGGAAACAAACAAAAGTGGAAGATATACTTGGGAACCTCAAAAAGAAAAAATGGCGATGGACAGGTCATATATGTTGGAGACAGGATGACAGATGGACAAAGAAAGTAACAGACTGGGCTATAGATAACATAAAGAGACCAAGTGCCAGATCAGTGACAAGATGGCATAACGAAATTACGAAATTTGGGCGCCAAGACTGGAAACAAAAAACACAAGAAAGACAGAGTTGGAAAAGATGTATATATATGTATATATATGTATGTATATATATATATATATATATATATATATATATATATATATATATATATATAGTATGTATATATATATATATATATATATATATATATATATATATATATATATATATATGCGTATATGTATATATGTATATATACATACATATTTATCTCTTTGTAGATTTATATAGAAATAGATATATGGATATAAATTGTGAATTGTAGAAGTGGTTCTGTATAGATCAATTTACCATCTGATTGATCTTTCCATATAACTCCTGCAGACCGAAGGGGTTCACAACCACGTCGTCGTCCACCTTGAGGGCGAAGGGGACGTCGGGGCAGTGGTGCACGACCCACGACAGCCAGGCGATGGTCTTGTAAGTCAAGTTCCTGTGGAAGCCACTCCAGGCTCAACACCTTGCAACCACACTGGATTGGTGTATATATATTTCTTATAAACAACCAAGCATTGTATGTGCCATTCAAAGGTTCAGATAAACAAGCCCGTAAAACCTTTCACTAAATTTAAAATGATATGAAGCAAAAGGATGCACGAAATAAATGCGAGAGCAGTGGCGAAGGCAAAAGCAGAGGCATATAAAGGTGAGTATGAAAGCTTAGAAAAAAGGGGTTAGAAGGCATGAAAAAAATCCATAATAATAGCATTGATAGAAAATAAGAGCTCGGCAGACTGCTACCGGGCAAAGATAATCAAGGATGAACATGGTTAGACACCAACGGATAACAGTCCAAGGTACTTATAACTAGGTAGTTCCACTTCCATTTAGCCTATTGGACCCGAAAATGAAATTGACATCTTCCCAAGAATATTTTCACAGCTGTTGATTATAAGGACTCTTCGAGCGTGTGCGTATGTTTGTGTGTGTATGTGTGTTTGTGTGTGTGTGTGTGTGTGTGCGTGTGTTCGCGTGTGCCTGTGCCTGTGAGCATGTGAATACACACAAATTAGTTACCGATATGAATCATAGAAGTTGTTTTGAATAATGTCATTAAACTGCGCCATCTCCTCGTCCACGGCGGCCTGCACAGAAGTGCTGGCTATGGCTCCTATCACAAACAGAAACCTGGGAACGAGAGAGATTAACTCTATTACATCAAAATGTGTTCGAGACCAACTGTGCACTGCAAGTGAATCTCTTTAGGAATTTAGTCACGTACTGCACTGGGAGTTATTTACTATCGCAGGATTTTCATTCTTACGAAAACATTCCGTTTGTAAAAGATGATTTTTACCCAAATACTAATAACATAACACGTAAATGGATGTGTGTGTGTGTGTGTGTGTGTTTATATTTTTTAGATATAAAAGTGTGTATATATATATATATGTACATATATATATATAAGAATATATATATATATATATATATATATATATATATATATATATATATATATATAAGTGCACATACACACACACACTGATACACACATACATACACACACATACGCACACACGTAAATATATAAATAGATATAGATAGATAGATAGATATTTATATATACAGGTATATATATATATACATAAACATATATATATATATATATATATATATATATATATATATATATATATATATATATGTGCGTGCGTGTGTGTGTGTGTGTGTGTGTGTGTGTGTGTGTGTGTGTGTGTGTGTGTGTGTGTGTGTTTAAGGAAATAAAACTACTTCTGACAACGGGTGTCGACTGGATAAAATTGATTTACCGCATAGCTTATAATTTCCTTTACACCACACATGTGTCATACAACACAACGTTAGATAAATATATATTCACAGTAGCGCTTAACAAATCACAACATGGAATGACTTCGGATTGAACTTAACTTCAGTCAACTTCAATCAAACCAAATTCCAGTGCGAGGAGAACAGACCGAACCGCTTTCGCCAAAATTCCGAAAGTGCGCGGAGACAAGGCGAAATACTTTCCGAAATGATTGCCATTTATGCCCATGTGTGTGGCATATACATATATATATATATATATATTATATATATATATATATATATATATATATATATATATATATATATATATATACATATGTATATACATATATATACGCGTATATATATACACATATAGTGTATTCATTAAGTTAAGAATGTATAATTACTCTGTCTATCTCACACACACAATGTTTTCATCGTATCCCTTCGTTGATAAGGAGCATCCAGTAACATTTCCCTCACCTGAGATCTTTGCGAGGATAGTAGACCGGGTTGGCCCAAGTGTTCCTGATCCTGTCTCGGCGCTCGCGGTGGTCGGGGCTCGAGGTGACGAAGGCGATGACGGTTACCTGCGGCGAGCACGACGGACTGGCGGGTGCGTGGTGCCACTGGACTTCACGCTGGATGCGGTTCCTGGTCGTCAGCAGGATCCCAGACATGCGGGAGAGGGAGGTTTAGTGTGAAAAGGAGCATACGTATGGAATATAATCGAATTGAAAGGTTATAGCCAGTTCAGTTTACATATTGCAAATTTATATTTTGGTATTGTTTAACGCTTTTCCTCGACAAAAGAATATGATCTTAGGGGGAAAATGACGTAGATTGACCGTGGAGTGTGCCTAGACCCAGAACCAAATATGAAATTTGGGAATAAAAATAATCATGTAAAAGCTATGTATATCAAGGAATCGGTTGTTGCCATTATACTGCCTGATATTTAATAATATCTGCTTGATTTTTTTATAGAGGCTGAGATATAATTTCAGGGTGAAATCAGAAAACATAGATGAGCCAGTCTCGCCTTGTGATAGAAAGGGGAAAGACGAATGAGAGAAAGAAAGAAAGGAGCAGAGAGAAAGAATGAATGCAAAGTAGCTAGAAAAGGTAAGTTAAATTAATGGGAAAGAGAAAGAAAAGAATGAATAAATAAAAGAAAAAGACAAGATAACCTTAAGACGAGGAGCTAGGGACGAGAGATACGGTACCTATTTTAAGGTAAACATGGCCTTATGTGGCGGGAAAGATTTTAGGGGTTTATCGTCAAAGCCACGTATCAGATCAATTTTGTTATCACATTTCTAACTAATTAATGAGAATTGCTTACGTTTTCAGATTTTCATTTTCACACAAAAAAACATCAACCGCGACCTTTAGAAACAAATATGGTTCTGTAGTATTCAAGATAAAACTGATTTATGACAGTGCACATACACATACATCAATAACTGCATTCTGGATGATAATATTAATGGTGATAAAGATAATCATACTGATACTAATACTAATACTAGTGATAGTAGAGTAATAATAATGAACAATTATAACAATCAGATAACAATAAGCATAACAAACAACAAAACCAACAACATAAATTGTAACACAAATAAAAAGAATACCAATGATAATAATAAACTCACCCATATGAAATTTTGTATTTTGAAAGATCGTGAGAAATGCAAGGAATTCCGTCAAATGTTACTAGCACCACTATCATCAGCACCGCCAAGATCTGGTTAATATATCCTGGATGGATGAAACAATACATTTCCCATGAGATTATAAGTTCTTGTTTAAGATAGCACCCAAAATCTATTCCTTAGCATCATCAAATAATTCTCACCAAGAAAAGCATTCAATCTGATCGTTACTTTTGAGGGAACTCGCCCTTGAAATGCCCCCAGCCACTAAAACAAAAGAGTTACAATTGTCGCCTGGTTGGGCACCTCTTCGGCTAAGAACTAAGCTCAGTCGACTCAGCACCAGCTAATACATTGATCGCGTTAGCGGGCTCTCCTCATGGGCATCATACCAGAAAATTCCAGCAGTGGACAGGGAAGCTAATGGTTTGGTTCCCAACAGATAGTGAGGAAAGGGAGAATAGAGTGAATGGGCGAATAAAGGAGTGACGGAAAGAAAGGAAGAAAGGGTGAAAAGAAGACAATGTGAATTAAAGAAAATGGGAGAGAATGAAAACTTGGAAGGGAATGAATAAACAAGAAAGGGAGAGAGTGAATTTATGAATAAATGGAAGAAAAGTAGGTAATTGATGAATGAACGAGACTGAATGAGAGAGAGAAAAAATGTTAAGAAGGTTGTTCAAGAAGAAAAGAAAAATTGGGGTGGCTTTTAAGAGACAGATTGCTTCCCTCAGTAATATCAAAATCACTGACCATATGCATTTCGATATTTTTCCATTTCATCGTATGATACCAAATGAATGAATTTGAAAAAAAGGTCCTTCTGCCTTGGGCACTACCTTTAAAACAAAGCAATCCCTGAAAATGTCCTGAACCTTTTGGCAATAATAGCAATTAAAAGGACAATATCGATGATACTAAAACAATATCACGATAATGACATTGTATATATATATATATATATATATATATATATATATATATATATATATATATATATATATATATATATTCCTACAAACAATATGGAAAAACTCTAGATTGCCTACAGTGAAATCTGCAGGCAGGTTAAATAATATACATTTAAAATAAACTTAAAATAAAATGTGTTTTAAACTACACACACAGATTCTGGATAGAGCACGTCTCTGTGCTTAACATATGTGGTTTGAAAAAGAACAAAAAATCTCTCGTCTATTTTCTTACTAAAAATGATACGAGTGTGTGTGTGTGTGTATGTGTATGTGTGTATGTGTGTGTGTGTGTGTGTGTGTGTGTGTGTGTGTGTGTGTGTGTGTGTATGTGTGTGTGCGTGTGTGCATGTGTGTGCGTGTGTGTGTGTGTGTGTGTGTGTGTGTATGTGTGTGTGTGTGTATACAATATACTGTATGTGACCGCGTGGATGCTTACACCACGCCAAGCCGCCCAGCGAAGTGTACCCACGCCGCTTGCTACCTAGCCTCGTTCCCACTCGTCTCCCGCCTTGGATACTAAAGGCCGCGTTTTGACCGGTGAAAGCAGAGTTTGCCCTGGCGCGGTCAAGGTCACGTCTGACCGGGGCTGGGCTCGCTAGTGACCCCGGGCGACCCTCCAGCCGACCGCCCAATACCCAAGACTGTCATATTGTGTTTCAACTCCGTGTGCTTGCTAGCTATATCAATAAAAGAGTTTTAAGCCACTAAGCTTTTACTACTTCCCTGTCACCAATGTTTAGAGCTCCCTTATATAACTCTTACAGTGGTGGCAGCGGTGGTAGTTGCGTCCTTTTGGCATGCAACCGACAAGCTTCTCCGAAGAAAACCGCTCGGCTTCGGCAAACGCAAGATGACATTTCCTCAAGAAAACCATGAGTACACATTTATGGTCCCCTTTCTCTTTTCATTTCCTTTCTATTCCTTTCCTAAATGTGTTAGGCCATGTACTGCCAGCTCACGTTAGTTTTTGAGTTTAAAGTGCTAATTACAGCAATGGCTCGCTCTCACTCTCATCTAATTTTCTTGACCTCACGATACTGTCAATTGCGGTATGTAGTTAAACAGTATGAAATCGTTCATTTATTAAGCGTCTATTTAAAAAAAAAAAAATTGTGATTAAATCATATTGCTTCAATTGTATCAAATTTGGCACGTTCGTGAATCTATTCTTTCCCACATATTCATTCATTAAATTCATCTCTCGCTATTTTCTGTCTTGACCTGACCTCAGCTGAAAGTAGTTAATCAGAGTCCACTTGGGGACAGCTCTCGTGACCTGACCTCACTTGATGGTCATTCTTCGAATAGCTGTCGTGACCCGATCTGACTTTCACTAGGAGTAGTTATCTCAGTAAATATAAAAGAAAAACAGCTTGCCAATTCCCTTTTAATTGTTTGAACTAGTTGTCACAATATAGGGTTAATGCATAGCAACCGTTACATGTTCATGGTGACAAATTCTATCAGCGCTAGAATGGAACTTGTAACGCGACTCATATAATCAAATATAACGCCAAGAGGTATCCTCATTGAAAGGTTGCATTTTTTTTGTGCAATGTACTCGGCGTCTCCGGCAGATGATAGTAAGTTAAAGTAACTGAAGTAAATCATACGTTCGGCAAACTTTGAGCCAGGGTGACCGCAATTATGTCCATTAATTTAGGACTAGGATTTAAGTCTGATTTAGGATCCACTTAATTAATCACAACCTGCTCACACTTTTACATGTCTCCGTCATGTTGGGTAAAATTCCATCGGTTCATGATTCATGATAAATCCCCGCAAGGCATTTCATGAGCGCCCATCATAGATCCGCAGATAGAGTGGGTAATTTATAGGTTTTCCCAGCTCGTTTTAGCTTCATAAAATACGGCAATATTTGGGTCACGTCCCCCGTCAAATGAAGTCTGCATGGTCGGTAAAGACACCTACTTCCTCGGGGAAATTCCCGAGAAGATTTGCTCGCGAAAAGGCTTGCGAATAATTTTCATGTCACCATTCATTAATGCGTCATTTTGTCGCATATCATTAAATGTTAAATTCGCTGTGGTACTTGAAATAATTTTGAATTACATCTATAAATAATTAATCGCATTATTGGTAAAATGAACTTTATTCAGCGTGTTGGCAATGCTACTGCTATAGGAGGTCACTCTTACTTACATTGACACCTGTCAATCACTAAACTTTTCCTTCGGGTGCGACAAATGGTTCAAGTAAAATCATTGCGGGTTGCTAATTGTTGTCCCCCTGAATTTATTCTCGTATCTATCTAGAGACGGTTTGGTAGTTCAAGATGTCCTTGCGGACGCTATCGCCGTCTCCCTCTCCTATTTTCCTGTTTTAGCTTAACTTTGTGAACTTGAAGCACAAAATGAAAATAACGAAAATTCAACTTAAAAACTGCAAATTATGAAACAAAAAATCGGCTTGTAGCATTTAACACCTTCTCTTCTCTGTCGTTTTTCCTTCTCTCACTATCTGGCCCATTATGTGTTATTCTGGTTCCCGATATCTGAAACGGCACTGAAGGAGGCCCTGCTGCAGAAACGGTCAGCTACGGAAGCCATTAGAAAACGTCATCGGAGATCGCCGCTCGCTAGGACACCTGAGAACCAGCGTTCGCCGTCCTATGATGCTGTGGACGGGTGCCGCCTGCCTGGACACCACAGACCAAGTCAAACTTCAGGAGCTCATTAGTGCAGGTATCAGCCGCCCTATGATGTCGAAGAGGACGCTTCCTGCCGGACACCCGTAGATCCTGACGAAGATTACGAGGACGTCTGTACGAGCACGCAGCCGAGAAGAACCTGGACGGAGATCTGCGAGACGTGCATTGGGTGAATAAGCCGCCGAGTTTGACCTGTACGCGGACTACGAGGATGTCTGGCGAGGACCACGCGAGTCGAGGACGTGAGGATGTCGAGAACGAACGGATTCCCAGGGACCAGAGAGAGGATGACGACACAGAACGAGCGGCCACGGAGATGCACCAAGGATACCAGCCAGGTTGGGTCACCCTTGAGGGAAGTCTAGATCGCCTCGAGA